TTCCTGTCGCCGTAAAGCACGTAGTCTAGCTCGCTTTTTGTCTTCAGATCTGACGACTGCCACGTCCATCTCTTGGAGAGGGGCTTCTCGAACAGCGAGTTTGTGACGTACAGTTGTTGGGCTTCAGCGAAGGCGGCTAGGCGGATGCCTGCGTCGTTGCGGAGTTCAGCACTGTGTCCTCCGATGTACAGTTCGTCCGGTTCTCTCGGTCCGACTCGTGCGTTGAAGTCGCCCATAACGACCACTGGCCCTCGTCTCGCTGACAGATGTCGCTCGACTTCGGCGTAGAAGGCCTCGACTTCTTGGTCCTCGTAGCCACTGTGTGGGGCGTAGCATTGGATGACCGTCAGCAGATGGCGCCGTCCCAGTTTGATCTTCAGCACCCCGACTCGTGATGAGCTGACGTCGACCGAGTGGATTCTCGCTGAGAGCTTGGCGTTTACGATGAAGCCGATGCCGCCTACGTGTCCGTCCGCTGCTCCGATATGCAGTTCACTTCCTCTGAGTTCTCCGACTTTCCACTTTGAATGCCGCTCCTCTCTCGAATGCGTCTCGCTTAGGCCGACGATGTCGAATTTGATTCGCTCCAGAGCCTCCATGAGTTCGCAGGTCCGGTATCCGTTTGGGTTCATAGAGTCGGTCCCTCCGATTCCGCTCTGTCCGCAGTTGAACGTCGCGAAACGGAGTTTGTTTGAGCAGCACCGTTTGTCCTTCATTTTATCGTCAAGCTTTTCCACATCCACGGGTCGTAGTGCTGCTCGTCCACTCGCCGCAGGTGCTTCCAAGCTCTCGTTTTCGGCGTTAGTAGCGGTTGATACTCTACGAGGCTTGCTAGGCCGGGCGCAGAGCCAGCAGGTAGTACGACGACGTCCGTCATGCCGGGACCCGGTGCGTCGAAGTTTTCCGGATGTTGTTGCGCTTGACTTGTTGTGAACGGTTCCGCTGGCGATTCCGGATTCGCATGCGGACTTTGCGCAGTTTGGGCTTGCCCGGCACGGTCATGGGGACCATCAGCAGACCGCTTTACGGGGCATTCCCCGACCTCAGCAGTGGTTGCCTGCGTGTTGGTTAGCGGGACCCTGCGTTATAGGCCACATTACCAATCCCATGCCGGGGTTGCTCTGTTCGACGATCGATCTGCCAGTCGGGACGGTCCGTTCACGTCGTCCTTCATTCTGTTGTCCAGCTGCACCCGCGACGACGATGTTTGTAGTCGCTTCTTGGAGGAGATCGTCTCGCAGCCCTGTCATTTTCGCTGATTCGTTGGTGCCCCGTCCCTTTTCGCAATTTTCCTTGATCTTGCCGATCATATGCGTGCATCGAGAAAGATTCCTAGAGTTGTTGCCTCCTGGGCTTTACCAGACATCTGGATGTGTTTCATAGAAATCTGTTGATTTTTATCATGTGCCACCGATTGCTTATTTGCTAAGCACGACGCACTCAATACGATGCCCACCTCTGGCGTTTTGTTACGCGCCAAGCAGGCTAATCGCTTTGAGTCGGACATCCGCAGAAAGCGACGCCATTAGCCGCCGCATGGCATCGTTTCATCATGAATCCAACTTTATTGAAAGGAAATCATACTGCCTACGCTTGCTTGCATTTTTGTCCGGATTCAAACTGTACTAGAATTTATGGTGGCATTCTTATAATTCTGGCGTGGTTTTCTCGTATAAATGCACTAAGTCAGTCAGCGCTTCCAACCGCTCACAATTAGCTTCAAATGCGTGCTGACCGACCACCAACACGCTTGCTTAGGCTAGACGTTGAGCTAGAGCTAAGTTAGGTTACTGCGTGATCGCTTTCCGACTGTTTGTACCTAACAATATTTGCTTTACCTCCAGCCACCGATATTAGGTTTCAGTCGATTTGGGCGTGTTTCTTTCCATTTGTTGTGCGCTTAACTAGCTCACAGTCTCATTTTTAGATAATTTCAACAATGTCCAAGCGTCCTCACAGTTCTCAGGAGCCTACGTCCGCATCCGTGGATCTCGTCAAGCGTTTGAAGGATGCTGCCAACGATGCCGTGCTTCTTCGCGAAATTGTCAAGAGCAACGACACTGCGTCCGTTGCCGACGCTATCGCTGCGCTGCTCACTGGCGGCAGTTCGTCCGCATCTACTGGCCCGAAACTTCGAAAGACGGTCAGTTTTACGAGGCCTCATGGGGCTCACTTGTCGAGGAGCTTCCGAATGCAAGCAGTAATGTTGCTATGTTCTGATTGAGGCAGCAAGATATTATTCAAGCAATGCACCTCCAATTTAATTAAAGCACACGTTTTGCCTCCAATTAGTTTTCGATTTTCCTAGCAATTTAGCCCCCTTTTTGAACGTTATTTTAACAAAACTGTACCCTTCCCTGTGGTGCAGCACGGGGCGGTTTGCTGCAGGTCGTACTTGTCTTCGTCCCTATTAAGGGTTCATCGACTGAGTTTAGGCTCACAACCGTACACGCCGTTCGTTGCCAGCGGAGAACTTCGTGGAAGTGGTGCTATTCGCGGACCGCGATACCCTCGACACGATGCAACTTGTCTGCAGCTACTTTCTCACTCTCATCCGCGAGCTGGAGCTGACGCAACTCGCCTTGCGAGCCATTTCGAGGGTCGAGATCGGCAAATTCTTGTGGTGAGTTTATTATGCTGGAGTGCGCGGTAACAAGCGAGTAGAGCAAGGTGCAAGTTTTTCTGGGTCCAAAGCCAAAGGCGTGAATTGCATTGCCTTAGGCGTCGCGAGGACCGCTTCGACGGCTGGCTACCGATCGTCGATGTGATTCGTCGTTATGGCGCTGAAAGAGAGCTCGTGCCGAAGACCGTCCACCAGTTGATGCCCTGCCTGCGCATGTCCTTCTGCAGATCGGTCTGCATCGACCTCGGCGGAGTGTCTTACGCGCACGCCACGTTCAGCAACGTTTGCGGCATGGTTTTCGACGATTTGGCTGCTCCGAGCACGTTTGTCGGCACCCTCGACATTCGACTGCCTCCGCGCAACATGGAGCTGGCCCTTCGTAAGTTCCAAAATTCATGCAGATAGCGAATTATATTCTATTGACGATCAATAATTTTAATATTCAAATAAACTGATTGATTGTTATTAAGCGATTAACATTCATAATTTAAATGAATTTTGAGCAAGTTAAAGCCCAATCTCAAATGGAGAACAGTTGTGGTTTTAGGTGGCATCGAGGCGTTCAAATCGGTGAAGACACTCCGCATGGAACCAGTCCCCATCGACGACGATATCTATTACGAGCTGGCTGGAGAGGAGCCCTTGGACGAGAAAATTTTCATTCCTGCGCTAAAACGTGGCGTTCGGCACATCGAGGTCATTTCGGAGGATGATCGCGGTGCGCCAGCCAACACAGCCGCTGCACTGTCGTTCGGATTCGCGGAGCCGGCAGCCGGCGGGGACCGCAGCTTGCTCGGAATCGCCTGCGACATCGGAGCAGACTTCCTCGAGCTTATCAAGCAGGTACGGCTGCTGTGCTCTAGAGAGAGATTAAAGGCGCCTACGTACCCCTCCCCTCCGGGGCGTACCCGCTACTCACACTCGCTCCTTCCGAGCCGTACCCCTGACCCGAGGCGGACCCCTCCCCGAGCCGTGGAAAAACTCGGTACCGTACCCGTACGCATCGTAAAATGCGTTTTTTGCAGAAAACAACAGGCCGAAATCACCCCCCCCCCCAAGAGCCGTGTTGCCGAGCCGTATTACTCGGGGTTGCGGTGTACGGGTACGGCCCGGCCCGTCCATAGGCTCGGGCGCCGATCTCTAGTCCTATGGACAATAAGAACAACCCATCACGGTCTGTTTCAGGCTCCTTTTAAGCTCCCTATTTTCAGAAAGTCGCCGAGCTGGACGCAACCCGCCACTTGGACTTCACCTTCAAGTTAGGCACCGTTTCGCCGGACATCGATCCAGATGACTACGAGAAGTATCAGGGGGATGACGGACAAACTGTGCTCGTGGACGACCTAGAGAATCATGTCAACGTGGAGCTCAAGCAGACCGAGGATTCTTATGACAGGAACGTCGTCGAGATTCATGTGTTTTCGTCCGTCTGAAATGACGCGTTCCTCGTTTTGTTCCGTTACTCGTTCAATGTTTTGAACTGATGGCGTCAATAAAGTGATCATTCGCTTACTTTGTTAATGCTTTGCATTAATACATTCGGTACGTAAGCGTGTTGGACTAATTTCGGAGCACTTTCTGAAGACCAGGAGTGGGGGGGGGGTCCAAAAAGTCTGTACGCCTCACAGAGAGGGGAGTCAGAACCCCCATAAATTCAGCGCAAAAATTGATACACCCCAATGAGGGCGGAGGGGAGGGGGTAAAAAAGGGGCCATGTAATGCTTACAGACTTTCTGAACGGCCCCCAAGTAACTGCGACGAGAGGTGATCCTGCTCTTCCCTTTGGTGTACTAGGTAGAAGTAACAGGACTTGCCTAGTCTTACGGCTGTAGGAAATGCTCTAGCGACTACTGCTTCTCTGGCATTTCGTACTTGCTCAAGAAGAGAAAGATCTAAAAAGCATCTCTGGAGCATCCGGATCGTACGTTCCAGACGGATGAGGCCCGATCCCGTTAGTAGGGGTCAGGGATGGGGGTCTCGGTCTCGGTCTCGCTCTCGAAAACCGAGACTCTCGGGGGGTCCGGTCTCGGTCTCGGTCATGAAAAAACCAGCCCCCATTGAGCTTTTTTGGTTAAAAATATTTCATTGTTTTTGCCAAAAATTCGACGAATTTTGACGCAATCACTAGCAAATTCCCGCTCAAACCCCATTAAGAAATGCTCAACTAGCTTCTCAAGTTGCTTTTGCGCAATTCTTGCCGAAATTCCGCTAGTAAAATGTAATCAGAGGGAGCTTCCAAATGACCGTGGTAAATTCTAACTCTCGGTCTCGGTCTCGGTCGTCAGTATTGTATCCCCCATCCCTGGTAGGGGTCGGCAAACGGACCGGACTCCGGCGCCGGACCGGAGTCCGGATTGGATTATCCGGCCCGGGGATATCAGGCCCCGGTATCAAAATCGATTTTATGCACTATCATATTGAAAAGATACTAACCGTGTAAACACCAAAGTGTCACCCCTGTAGTTTTCGAGCTTTTGGGCAAAAATAAAATTTCTACAGCCAGGCGCCGGACCGGTGTCCGGTCCGGGGTCGACCCCTACCCGGTAGTACCTATTTTTGCTTGATTCATCTGGATTCGAGAATATGGCCCAATGTCGACTGACATAAGGGGACTCTTGGTGTGTTTAAGCTCAGAATGAAGAGAGCTCGTCAGTCTCAGAACCTCGAAGTTTTGGTTGTCTGAACCTTCGCAATACCAAGACATTTTTCGCACTGATTAAAAGTGAGCATGCTTTACTAAGGCCAGTTTAAACCCCCTTCATCACATTCGGCGGAGCCGAGTGTCTGCAATCGAACGAGCGCGACGAAATGGATCACACTACAGGCCGGGGATGGCCGGATTCTGGGCGTACTGTGCCCACAGCTGGTCTACGGTCTTGCCGGTGAACGTCTGGAAGAACGTCGCGTGCTTCCCCTCACGCAGGGCCTGGTTGTAGGCCTTGACGAAGCCGGCCTTCACCTTCTTCTCGATCCACAGGAAGAAGCGCGCGGTGACGCGATAGCCGTCGGTGTACTTCTGCGACTTCTCGAAAGAGGGCAGCGTCCATCCGGCGCCGGCGTTGTCGACGCCCAGCGTGTAGCGTACGTAGTCGG